GGGCCAGTCTTGGCATAGATATATACCAAAGACAAACATAATGTAGTTCATTTTGTTTGGCCTTGGTAGATGCATGAAAGCAGATATAGATAGTTGTCTAGATGGGAAAAACAAATTAAATGTTTTAGAAATCCCCAAAAGTTGTATTTCTCTCACTAGAAGAGTTTAGTTGAACATATTGTATTTTTATGTATGCTTTTATTATCTGTTTTAAATACTTTGGCTTTTAAGGGGTGAACTGTAAAGGTTAACTGATAATAAATGCATAAAGATAACATTTGAAGAAGTAAAAATAAAGCTTTATTTATGTTAATGTTAAATAGTAAAGCTATAACACAAAGATACATAAAAATTGAGTTTTTGTTTTTATGAAGGCCATATTTCTCATTTCTGTTATTGAATGAGTGGGTATATGTTCCTCTGTTTTCATCAGAGCATGAGAGAGCTCATTATGAAGCAGTAGTTTATTTTTCTCTCTGTGAGAAGTGAGGGCTGGGGTGGGGGGGGGCAGTCTCTGGCCAGTTTCTGCACTATCAGGGAAATAAATCAAACAAACAATAACAAAAATGTCCCGAGACCTCACAGGGACCGCGCCGAACTACTAAGTGTGATAAAGGTGATTCCTTATGAGCTCTGTGCCAATGGCAGAGCAGTCTGGCTGTAATAAATTTAACACAAATTGCTCGCTTTAATTGGGTTCATGATCTGTAGACTGAAGTGTCAGGAGCCTCCAGTAAAAAAAGAATAGTAACAAATGAGACACATAGATTTCCTGGACCACTTAATGCTGTTATAAAGACTGAAAAACATATTGAAGATGTCTGCAGAAAAATCCTGTGTGTCAGCCTTATTGACCAGGAAAGCTTTATAGGCATCACTCTGATCTGTACTGAAGAACGGAAACAGGAAGTGGGACAAAAATAGTCTAAAAATTTGAAACATTTTTTTAAATGCAATCAAGTTTTTTTAAAGCTTTGTATGTAGCTGTGTTTTACTATAAAACCATATTTAATAACATATAAACATGTATGTTAGAGACTGTTAAAGAGTCTTTTTTAGTTATTAGGACCAATTTTCTGTATAAACATTTTTTCTAATTTAATTATTGTTTTATTTTAACAGCAGTGGAAGCTTTTGTCAGTTCTGGTGATTTCTAGGAGCATCTCAAAGTGAGTACAAGTACCTCAGTTTGGGTACTTGCCACCTAGTACCAGCACTAAGTACTTACTGAGTTACAACTTAAACATTATACTTAATAAAAACATCATTTATTTTATGTAGAACAAGGTGGCGCTCTTTCCTAATAGATCTACAGTTTAAATCAGAAGGATTTAAATGTGAAACAAAAGGCTTTAAAAGTATGATATGTCCACTTTAGTGCTCATTTGATAAATAAATAAATAAATAAATAAATAAATAAATAAATAAATAAATAAATAAATAAATAGTTTGGTGTTTTAAGCAAAAAATCTGTGGTGACATCTCAAACAATTCATCTTAGTAGAAAGCATTTTGAATAAGGACAAAAAACTGAAATAAAGATTACCTCTGACCAGACTGGCAAGCAAATAATTTGAAGCAAAGCCAAAAGAGAGGAAGAAGTGATTTGAAAACCATCATAACTCTACGGTAAAACCAAGAAATTGCATCTTTGTAGATGTTGATCAGGTTCACAAATGATGTGCTTATTTGCTGAAAAGGTAAAAGACACACCGAGGTGTTCAAATTTAGCTCGTAAAATAACACCTTTCTGAAAAGGTCAGAGAGGCCACAGTCTGGCAGGGAGTAAGGCACGAAGACACACAACATCTGGGTTCATGCGGGGAACAGCATGCCCTCATACATTCAGATCCAGTGGGACCACAGTGTGGCACAAACCGGGTTTTGGCTGGCAGCACACAGAAGGTCAGCTCAATCGCATGTAAAAAAAAGAATTAACAAGAAAGTACAACGGATGTTCTGTTGCCCTTCTTTCACATCAAATGAGCATTTTAGCAGAACTATCTGGCTAATGGTGAATGTCTCGTCTTGTGTGAGCGTCAGTGGGACTCAACTAGTCCTGTGGCCTGAGGGTTGGCTCAGTGCCAGCAACACACACACACACACACACCTGTACAGAGACAAACACACAGAGTCCACTCTGGACCTCAGGGTGAAGACGGATGTGATACGGAAATCCCTGTCTGTTGATATCTTCCTCTGATAACTGTGTGTGAAGGTCGTTTGTCCCCCCTGCTTTGGCGAGACCTCCCATAAATCACAGCGGAATTGGCATGATGGGTATTCATGGAAGCAGCTCCTGCCTCCAGTCTTTCCCACTCCCCTCATCTCCTCCCTGTCGCCGGCAGCCCGAGGAGGAGAGTGCGATAAATAATGACACATCTGGACAATTTCATCGGTTACAGAATACACTGGGAGCAGACGTACACGGGGCCCCGCCATAAATGAGTCTTTAGTGCTTTATTTTTTGTCAACATTTGGAAATATAGCAACACAATTATGTTGGTTTCAAACCTAAAAGTGGTTAAAAAAACATTTTTGTATTAATTTTTTTATGAAACCTGACAGATTTACAGAACAAGATCAGTGTCAGTACACACATTTAACTCATTTTTAAAAGATTTTACTGATCGATCTGTTCTTTATGAAATTATTATTATTATTATTATTATTATTATTATTATTATTATTATTATTATTATTATTAAAATAAAGTCATTCATATCACGTCAATAACTGTATGGCAAAAATGTAAGGGGGGGTCAGCATATTAAAGATATCCAGATAAATTCTGTACATCGTTTGACAGCAGTTCTATAACATATTTAGTACAATTTCATATATTTCTTCCTACTTCTTGGTAGTTGCCCGGCAACCAGCAGGCACAGCAGACCAGGAAGTAAATGTAAACAAACCACAGACGAGTCATTGGCTGTGTCCAAAACGACAGACCGGGTCCTCCGGAGGACCCAGACTACCCTGTCGAGGTGGGCCGGGTCCTTGGTAGACCGGGAAGACCGGAAAAAAGAGGCTGTGAATTTGGACGGCCTCCCCTCCACCCCTGCGTACATCATGTCACCTAGCAACTGTGACGATGCTAAACAGAAGCAAAAATAGATCAAAATTAGAAAAATATCGGTATATTAGCATTGTTAATATCACAAAACAATAAAATTAACTTAAAGGTAACATTTGAAGAACTAATTGACCCGCTGCAGGTGCATGTTTATTTCGCGTTTTTATGATAAAAATAATATTTAAAAACATGTCTATACAAATGATAAAAGTATTAGAATTGCAACCGCTAAAACTTTTTAATTTTTTTATCGCCATTTTTTTTATTTAAAACGTTTTCTTTTCTCTCACTTCGTCCGCCATTTCTAGCTTAAAAAAATCTCCGGTCGGGCCGCAATGCATTATGGGATATGCTGGGCCGGGAAGGATCCATCGGCTCTGTCCTTCAAATCGAGGAAAAGGAAGGACGTATTTGTCGGCCGCATCGGAGGAGTCTTCGMTTTMGGACGTCCTTCGTTGCGGCGCTGTGACGTATGTGGCCGACGAATTCGGCCTTCAGAGGACCCGGCCTGCCGTTTTGGACACAGCCATTAACATCTACATTATGTTGCATTCTGTTTATATCCAAGCCCCATCGTTCTCTGAGGTAAAGCTAACAAGCTATTTTTCCCCAAAGTTAAAGCAGTTTATCAAATTAAAGGCCCAACGTTTCTTACAATCATCATACCAGAGATTCATTCTGCGCTCCAGTCGCAGCGCAACTCGAATTTGTGAAGCGGGACTGACGTCAGTTGTGAGTTGAAAGTGTCCCAGTTTCCAACCTGTCAGAAGAGAAGCATTTCTATTTCTTGCTCTGATGGAATAATACAACAATAACACTTACAACTACAGCGCTCTACACAGCATTTTTTTACAAACACTAAAAAACATATTGACTTATAAAGTACAATGAATATGCCTGAGTTAATGTGAATTTAACATCACAGAACAGCTAAAAACCATAAAAGTAAAGAAGATAATGATGTGATTGTGATGCTGTAATTCTGAGTGTTTTATGTGCTGCAGAACAGGAACCTGCTGTAAAACAGCAATTATGCTGAGTCAGGCTTGATTTTTAATAATCTTTTCCTGTTAWATAAATAAATCAAATCAAATCAAAGAGTTTTGCTCACTGTTGAAACGAGTAGCAGCCACGTTCAAATGATGATGTCATGTGTGATTGGGTATGGTTGAGTTGCACCGACTTCCCAACTTGAAATTACAGCGTTCCAGTTGATATTTTCGACTTGGAAGTCTGAAACTCTGACCTCAGAGTACAACTGGAACGCACCATTAGACTAAAATCTTCTTGCGTCAAGTTTCTGTTAGATTTGCATGAATATTATTCTAAACTGGTTTTATTCTGACAAATTCCTATAGCTAAAACGTAATTTGGGTTCATAGGATCCAATTTTCAACAGTATAATATTTTTAGTTTTACAAAATCCATTGAAGAACAAAAAATGTGTCGTGAAACATGAATCTTAAATAATGTTTTTGTTTACTTTTGCTCTGTGACGCTGTCATGTTGTTTCATCTGGAGGCACAGTGAAGGCATGAAACCAGGCTGAACCTCAATTACTTTCTCACATTTTTCCTGCAGATCACAATAGCTTTCTTTGTGTTGCTGTGCACGCACCTGTGCACAGCTTAGTGTTTCACTGGGTCCATCCATGCACAACATACACACATATAACCAGCCTGTGTGTGTGTGTGTGTGTGTGTGTGTGTGT